TAACATACTAGCATACCTGGCTAGTTGACCCCTGAATAACATATTTAGGTACCATACATGTCTGCGATATATGCAGAAAAAAGTTTTTGAGGGTTTTTGAAAATCAGTTTATACCAGTGAAAACCCAAGCTTTATAATATATTATATTTGCATGTTATTTGTATAAATAATTTTTAATAAGTATTTGGAAATTAAATATCAGCTTTTATAATACATAAAATCAACAGTTTTAATATTTAAGWACCAATAAAAATAATATTGTTTGTAAAATATGCTTTTCTTTACTTATTTACCTGCATGTGTTTTGGGATATAGTTCAATTTTATAATGTAATTTTAACTTTTTGTTAATCATTTATAATTTTTTTTTGTATAGAACTAGATGAGTATCAAATTATCGATGGAAACAGTATAATACAGCCAACAAATCCTCCTGTATTTTTTTTACAAAAATGGAATGATTTCAAACATAAAAAGGCTTGGAAACTTTTGGAAATAACCAACAAATACAAAAATTCTAAACTATCCTGGGTAGCCATTTCACGTTTGACCACAATGACTGATCTAAAAAGTATATATAAACTGATAATATAAATTTTTKTTTTTGCATTATTATCTTTAAATATTTTTTTTAGATTCAGATTTCCAACATTTAGCGCAAATGAGTCATGCACATACTTTGGTTGGTTTGGCTCGATCAGCTAATGCTMATCCTAAATTTTTCTTACCTCCTAGAAATATAAGTTGGACAAAAGATGTATAAATAATAAATTATAATCATTGTATTATTTTTCTTAAATTATAATTCATTCATTTTAATTTAGGAAATATTGTACAAAATACGCCATTTGTTAATTAAATTAAATGAATTAAATGAACACAAATGTTTATCTTACTTTATGGCCTATGCATTTAAAGTAAGTAAAATCGTGTTACTGCCTTTTAATATTATTCTTTTTATTTATTTTTTGTTGTATAGTGTTATTTAATATCTTTAATACTTATGCCTGTTTATATTTATTAGGATAAACAGCATGACTATTATCACCTGGATGATGTACCACCAGATTTTGCAAGTATGCAAATAGACAATGATAATATATTACAGTTAAGCATAAATGCTTTACGTCATCATTGTAATAATGAAACAAATGTCACTGGTAAGTACTTTAAATCAAACCTATTTATTATAATTAAAAATCAAAATTGATAAGATTATGTCATAAACAGCTATGGTAAAACTGGGAGGTCTACAAATTTTGATGGCTATTTATCAGTATTTAAAAAATGATGAACAAGTAGCAGAAGAAATCGGAAAATTGTTGTCAGTTGCTTCTTTAAACAAAGATCTTATACAAGATATTTTTTTAACCGGTATAGTCTAACAAATGTTGTTTCAATAGATATTTTTTTTAGATCTTCAAAGTAAATATAATATTTTATTATCAGCTCRGTAAATAAAAATTTTAAAACTACKCAATATTTATTATTTAGTTTAATTGTATTCATTATTAACAGATAATATTGTTAAATATGATTTTAAATTATTTATATATTATTTAGGATGGATCAGTATTTTGTTTGAATGGAAGAATCACAAAAATTTTAGAATTCAGTCATGGGCCAACCGAACATTATTAAATATGGATGATGAGGATCCAATTAACGGAAATTATATGTTTGGAAAGCAAACRGTCTTATTACATCCAAAAAATAGATACCATCAAGATGCTAAAATTGATGTAGTTCTTGTACATGGCTTATTAGGTGGTGTCAGCTTTTCATGGCGTGAAAAAGATGTACATATTAATGAACCTCTTGGTCTTTTTGGTAAATAAATTGTATATTATCATCAGTTCATACTAGATCTTCTGTCTGTGAATTGCTGTCTTGACAATCTTGTTGACAATGAATGGACTTCTAATATTAATTTCTTTAGGTGACTTATTTGGTTTTAGTTCCTTTAAATATTTGTTGATAMTTATTAATAGTTAACCTCCTTATTCTTGATAATTGTTTTAGGCTGAAGCTTTTTTATAAAAATATAATAATAATAATAATCAACACGTACATTTACATAGTTTGAACTGTTTGAAGTATAAATAATATTTTATAAATTCATTTTTTTAACATTTTACGCTCTGAATTTTACTTTTCTGAATATATTGTTTCACATTTAAAATAAAATTTAATAATCTTAATATTTACCTCAAAATTATACTATTTTAATAATAGATATGAATAATAAGAATGAATCTCATAACTCATCAAATACTACTACACTAAAAAGACCAGTTGGTGAAGATATGCAAAATTATTTGGATAGCTATAAAGAAGTCAAAGCTAGAGAATGGGACTTAATTGGGAGTGAATTTGAATTTGTTTTGAACGATATACCACATAAAGAAAATTTAAAAGGAAGCGGGCCTTACTCAATACATGGGTAATATTTTATTTTTACAATGATATTAAATTGTATTATATCTAATTGTTTTCAAAAGGAATGATTCTACTGTGCGACAAACTGCTCTCAATAAAGGTTATAGTCAATGTTGGCCATCCGATTGGTTACCTTCTGATGAAGAAGGTCTACGAGTGATTGGTGTCGATTATAGTACAACATTGTCTGAATGGTTGCCATCTTGTCCTTTAAAACAAAAAGAGTATGAGATTTTTAAACTGATTTCAAGATGACTATTTAAAAATTGTGTATGTTCTTAGTCATCGCACACTCGAAGGACGCACAGACAAATTGATGCATCAATTACTAGCTATTGGCATTGGAGACCGACCAATAATCTTTTTGGCCCATTCTATGGGTGGACTTTTAGTTAAAAATATGTTGGTTGCAGGTAAAATGTCTAGCTGTAAAAAATAAGTGCAAATTAAATTTTATAAAAATATTATTTTAGCAAGAAATAGTAATGATCCAAATGTGAGAAAACTTTTTGAGAAGACAAGATCTGTATTCTTTTTTAGTACACCACATCATGGGTCACCATTAGCTACTTTAAATAGCGCATATCGATTCTTTTTATGGCCATCAGTAGAAGTGGATGAACTAAGAACTGGTATTTTGACTTATTAATCATTTTAATATTATGTTATATAAAAAAATTTTTTATAGATTCACCTAAGTTAGTATCCCTCCATGATGATTTCCTTGAATGTTTAAAAGATAATCCAATGAAGATTGTCACTTTTGCTGAAAGTCTTCCAACAGAGTTTACTGCTTTGAAAGTACCTATACTATGCGTACCTAAAGATGCAGCTGGTAAGTTTCAATTATTTTATAAATATATATTATTAATATAAATATATTGGTTATAACTTACAAATATATTTATAGAAATAAATAAATTAGAT